TTTCACTTACTGTTTAAAATTATAAACAGAATAAAACTATTGTGTTAGAAAAATGTTATTATTATTTGAATATTATTTTATTTTATTGATACTATTTTATTTCTTTTTAATTTTTACTTTTTTTTACTTTTTTACTTACAGTTAATAGATACAAGCAACTTAAATGCTATATAGCACGGAAGAAACAAAGAAACGTAAACGCTATGAACTGAAACATGTGAACATGAAGATTAAATTTTGACGCGTCTGAACGCTAGCATTATATCCTTATCCTAATTTAATTCTTATATTTTTTCATATGACAATTCAAATAACTAACTCGGCAAGAGCTTTTAAGAAGGTGGACATATCAAAATTTCTTTTATTAATCAAACAACAATTTGTTCAATTGGTGTTAATTTTGATTTATATGAATGCAGTATAACCAAAAGTGCCAAGTACAGTAATTATTACAAACTCTATGGTAAAAAAATGGTATAAACTCCGTTGACAAGATATGAAATAATTCTAATTGTTACTAGTAATATAATAACCAATGTCTTTTTTTAAAGATATGGTACATCGAACAATGCAATCTGTAAATGAGAATACTGCCACTGTAATTGCAATGAGGGATAAAATGGATACGCTTATAGAAATTCATAAAGAACATAACGAAATTATAAAAAAACTATTATGAGAAAAAACTATGGAGGTAACATTAGAAGTTAATAATTGTTAACAATAATAAATGTCTAACATGTTTCTCTGACATCAAATATTATCCTATTGAGCGTCCAAATATCAACTCTATATAATTTCTTTTCAAATTTTTCAGTTATATATTGTATTTTGTAAAGTATTTCATATATATATATACACACACACACACATATATATAATTTAACGATAATTACTAATTTTATAGCATAAATATTTGTATTACAAAAGTTTGAAGCATGCCACTGCAATACGGTGGTGATGTATATGATTGACAGGAGAACTATTATTTTGAAGCCGAGCATGAATATGTTCTTGGTCTCGCAGAAAGGCAAACAATAATAGATAATTATTTTAACATAATTCAGCAGAATAGAGATGTTTAAGGAGTTTGAGAGTTAAAAACAAAATAAATGAGCAATCATAATCAAATAATTAATTCTTAATTTTATTGAATCCCTATGAATTTATTTATATAACATAATTTTCTATTAACAATAAATCTACTTATTTATTATTATTTAATATATAAATGTGATCATACTTTATAATCAAGGGTCGCGGTCGAGAGCCGTAGGCGAGTAGACACGAAGTGGCCACGGCTGCTGGCCGGCGGCAACACTCTATATACTAAAATGGAGAAAAGTCAGATTTGTTGAACATATGATAAATACTATTTTTGTTGCTAATTTAAATTATTGTTTAAATTAAATTAAATTATGTTAATTTAAATTATTTAAATTAACATTGGTTTTAGTGACAGACACGATCGGCACACAATGCACTGTGCAACATCTAAGTGTTCAGGAGTTAGCAGTCAACACAATATATAAGCCGTGACAAACCGAATCATCCCTCTGCCCCTTGCTCTGCGTAATTCACAGTGCCACCTTACTAGTCTCTATGGCATGCGCTCTCGTCCATCTCTATAACATCATTCGTCACCACTAGGTGTCGCAAGATTTCTGCAAGTGGAATAGCGTTTTTTACAGCATAATATTGAGTAAAAAATACAACATGGTATCGCTTCTCGGCCTTTTGGCTAAGATCAAAGTGTAGTATCTGTTCTTATCAGCTTGATATCTGATACGCTCCCCATTGGGGAGCCAGAATATCGAACTGATTTTTGGAATATGGTGGAGTGTCTGGGGCTTGCTCCGACTCCGCCGCGGGTCGACCTTGCATTGCAGTACCGCAAGGAACGGCCCATCACATATAAATAAAGAATAAGTTTCTCATATGGTTTAAAGCATCCAGTCAGAGTTGAAGGTCGTAATATTGATGTTTCAAGGTACAACAATATGCGGATAGTATAACTATATTAAATATTAAATTGAATAGTATGAACGTTTGATTCGCCTTATGTATCTGACAAAAAACAAAACAACAATTAACTTACACTACTAGTTAATTTTCTATACCAAATTTTACTACGTGGTAAGCAGCACTTATTGATAGTGCTGAAATTTCATGTAAACGGCTCACGGTATATCACATAACCGAACGTATTATGATGTAGGGATCGGTTGGCGTTCATCACATATTAACTGGTAATTGAAGGCATCCATGTTAACAACTATACCATTTGTATTACCACTAAAAAAACGGTCGTAGCAATAGCACTGTTTTGTTCTAGATGCTATACTCTAACTTATTATAACTTTGAATTTTTCTTATTACCTAGAACCTTATAAATTAATCTGACTAAATTTTTCCAACATTGACTAATCAGAAAGCAGTTTTATCATGTCAAGATTTTATTTCACTAGCTATTTTTAGCCTCTTCTACATTGGCTTCATTATCCAATATCCACGCAGTCGAAGCAGCGGTTGACAAGGTCCGCGTAATCAAGTGGCATTTTTTCATTTTCTTGTAATGTATATTCTTATTATATTTTAATGAAAGAATTAAAAATTAAAAGTAACACGCTTCATCTAAAAACGTTTCAATAAAATTAATATAGTTTTTTATTTACTTTTTTATTTTTCTTATTCTTATCTTGATTTAATTCAAGATAAGATTTTCCTGATTTTCAAATTAAAGTTTTTTTATTTGAGTTGATAAAAGATGTACTCTTTGTTAGTAGAAAAAGTCACTGTTTTAGATAATTTTTTCTATATTGATAGTTGAGATTGGGCCACAGAGTCAAGCACCTACATAGTAGATGACTGAGACTGCTTTGTTTGTTATTAAACATAAATGTATTTTTCTGTTGGTGGCACATTTTATCTACCCCTTTCCTTTTAGGAAACTCAAAAAAATATTTCTCGAAACTAATATTCTAATGTAAGATCAAGAATTATTTATATTAGTAAGAAGCAATGCAACTAAAAAAAAGTTGTATGGGAAGATTATGTTGATATTCGTAAAATATTCTAAGTCAAAACAGCTGCATCTCTACAATCGAGAATTCCGCTGAATATTTTTTTTGACCGAATCTCCTTTCGAATTTTTTTTTAATCATCAAAAATCATAGATTATTTCTAGATAATTCCAAATCCCTTCAAATACAATCTTAATGATCAAGAATCATTCTGACTGTATTTCGGCTATCGGAAATTCCTCTGTATATCCATCAACGACTGGGAGTGTGGTTTTTTTATGCCGTGTAAGAGCACTTTTATCCATATTTTCTTAAAATTGATCATATTCAAATTTTGACTTTAAGAAAACTAATCCAATTGGAAGATTTGTGTATTTGTGCAAACTTTATAAATGTAGCTGAGTTTACTTGTGCATAATGTGTGTTACACAGTGTCGACCGCTGTTTCAGTTGCTAGGGTCTTGTAGAGGGGAGAGCAGTGAAAGAAACGAAAATTAATCTGCGGTTGGCTAAAGCGGTACTCTATTTGATCGAAATGTTTAATTTTCAAAATTTATTATCGTGGAAACTGTTGAAAATGAAAATTTTTTTCTATAACCCGATATAACTTACCCCGTATAAGCTAGTAAGATTTGATATATTAGCTACATCTTCTAATATTTGAATCAATAATTCATCTTTATCCGGCACCCAGTCTAAGGTAAAATTAATTATTTCAAGAGAATAAGTAATCAAATTCGTAATGAGCTGGTTATCGGTATTCTAAATAATTTAAATGCCATTACTCATTGAAATTCGCTGCATTAATTCAATTCAGCTCGATCATAAAACATATCTTGAAAAAAAGTCACACCGAATCAATTTCTCTTGTACTGTACCTTAGTATTGACTTATACACTTTAATTTATCTAAATATACGCTTGCAAATAATCCACATTTTGTTAGGATGTCAGGCGCTTTTTGTAGGTTGGATGCAAAATAATGCTGTACTTTGTCTTCTCTTATATGCAGTTGCAAGACTCTATATTGAAAGTTGAAAGTCTTACTTAACATCTATATTAAGTAAGGTGACCATTCATCAATGTTCAAGATCTTTTTAATATATGAAGGCAAAGTTATTTGTACTAAAACAAGGGCTGATTCCATAAATCTGAATTTTGATCCCTTGGTAATATAACATTATTAAAAATCTTGCAATAATTATGAACTGATACATCAATGTACATTTTTATTACGTTTAGTTGAGGAAGAACTGAACAATGAATTCACATTTTTATGAAATTGAATGTCGGTCGTTTCTCCGTATCTACAAAATGATAGTACTTATTTTTAGAAAATTACTTTATCGATTTCAATCGCTTCGTTTCACAACGATACTATAAAGCTTCAAACACAATTTGCATCCGCCGTTAAAACTGAAGCCCCAGTTTAAATGCACATTGTTCGTTGTAAAAATATGTCCATCAGATTATGATATCTCGAAGAAATTCGTGCAAATAATCATGTTTATTTATAGTTTATTTATACATTTGAGTAGAGTAAGAAACGCAGTTGCGAATCTCCGAAAAAATGTTATTCCAATCAGTAATTTAAAAGTTCAAAATTTCAAATCTATATGTACAAATATTTTTTTTTCAAACGTAATTTGAGACCCGTTGAAGAAAACTGGTTGAGATTGTTGAATAAAATTAATCGAGCGCACAAAAATTATTCTGCGGGGGAACATTAACTGTGATTGCTGTACTTAGAGGGACAATGTGTGGCTGTTAACAAACCGCTCAGTGGCAAGAAGTAGACTAAAGCGAGGAAGAAGCCAAGAGGGCTTACTGCGCATCGTAGTGGAGTTGATAAATTATGCATTGAAGGCATGCATAATTTATTGCACCGTTAATAATATAGCCAGTCTTCCTGAAATATTCCTGCTTAGCTTTTGCCACCACCTCATGTCGATTCGATTTATTTCACGTGCTCACTGGTTGTCACGCCGGATACACTGTTATGTCGAAGAACGCTTTTTACAAAATAAGAAGACATTTTTTATTTAATGAACATATGATATAAAATGATCCAAGATAATCGACAGCAGATCGATGGCGATAAAGGTAAGACATAATTTTTTATGGTATCACAGGTAAGCTGATACATTCTTTTCATCACCTGATAACTTAATTTGAAAAGCGACTATTCTTTTAGCATATCTATAGAAATTTTTTTCATTCCACTTTTCGTGAAGTATTCTAGTAGAAGGAGTATATGTAAAAGAATCATATATTTTGATTCTATACATGACAACACTACTGCTTTAATATGTTTCTACACGCGTCACGCGTCTGTTCATCTTCATTTTATTTATCTTTTTGTTTGATATTCGCATTCGATATTATATTGAGAAGAATGTATCAAATAAGATCTTTTTCGAAAAAAAAAATTAAGGCAACTTATTCAAGAAATCTGATATTTTTTTAATGATTATAGACTTTCAATGGGCATTTTACTTGAACCGAATATTTCTCACTATATTGGGTGTCTGGCCAAGCGATGAAAAAGAAAGCAGATTAAAATCTTTACGACTCCCATTGATGTTCATAGCCCCAGTGTGTGGCATATGTTTGCCAGCGACTTACGCTCTTATTCAGGTTCAAGATCAGCTAAACTTGGTGATCGACAATTTACTTATTAATATTTCGCATTTGGTTGCTGCTGCTAAAATTTTTCTTCTTTGGTATTACCGATCGAGTAATTGAAATGCTTATAGTTCTTTTAGTCTCTAGATATAGTGAAATTCATGTTCTCTTTTATACTTGTGATGAGGATTGTAAACATTACAAACATAATTATTTCAGAAAAATTTATAAAAATATTTTTGCAAGTTCAGTTCTTTTTTAAGAATTTGACTTTAAAATTAAGTAAAAGGCAGAGAAATTAAAATAAAGAGAATACGTTTTCAAGATTATTAAAAAACTTATTGAACCGATCGAACTCACGATGACTTACATTAGCATTTTTTTATTTACTGTACCTTGTGAAATATCTGGAAAATCACAATGCTGTCTATAAAAAAGTTCAGCAAAATCGAATTAATCTTTAAACTATATTTTTCAAAGATTACATTATGCTGATCAAATGGTCGGAAATCAACTGGTCCCGATGTACCACAAGCTGGGAGCGACAATTGATGGCAAAACAAGCTAGCCGTGGACGTTTTCTTAGCGGATTCAGCTACATCACCATATTCATCCACGTGAACGGCTTCGTTTGGTCCCCCGTGTTCGATCTAGGAATACGTATTGTCAACAACATAACCGATCCAAATCCACAACGTTATTTACCTGTTCAATCTTATTACCCATACGATTCCAACAAAAGCCCTTACTACGAGCTGACTTATTTTAGCCAGATATTCTCTATATGCTTGTCTTCAATAGCCTATGCGTCGGTCGACACTTTGTTCAATGTCCTTGTTTTTCACGCCAGCGGGCAGAGTGAGATACTAGCTGAAAATATGAGCAGACTTGGCGATCGACAAGAACATCAGTCATTGCAATGTAAAGTCAAAGAGCTGATCGACTCTCATAATGAGCTCGCAAGGTACGTGCACCTAATTAATGGTCTGTCCATCCGATCGATAAATAAATGAGCGCGCGCTTACTGCCAGATTTGTCATGACCATCGAAAAGTCATTCACCGTTACGATTTTCATTCAATTATTCGGTGCGGTGATACTCGTATGCAGCAGTATTTATGCTTGCGTCAAGGTACGGCTCGTAGACACTAACGATCATTCAGATTCGCTGTCTTTATTTTGCCGATTGAGCGTTTTAGGCCATCAATGAGAACTCGTCGATAAAGCAATTGTCAACACTTGTCTTGGGTGCTGTGAACGTGAACGAACACATAGTTATTTATTGTTTGACATGCGAAATTCTGGCAGCTAACGTAAGCTTCTCAAACCTGTAATCTATGTGTAATATTATAACATCGATACAAATAATTTCTTTTTATTACGCACAGAGCTTGGAAATCTTCAATGGCATTTACAGCTCGAAATGGTATAATTTGCCAGCAAAAGAGGCTCGATACGTTACTATGGTATTGGCTCGCACTCGATACCCTTTGCGACTGTCTGCTGGCAAATTCTTCTATTTATCGATGAACTCTTATATTCAAGTACGTTTTATCATTATTTGGCCGGTAGCTCAATCTGCTTTGTTGAATTTCCAGAGGAATTTTGTTAACTTGATTTCAGATTCTTAAAACGACTGCTGGGTACATTTCCATGTTGCTGACCGTTAGTTAGATATTTAATATAACTTCTAGTAATATTATAAGATAAATAGTACAGTGTATGCAATTTGTACTGATTTCTTTAAACGATATTCATAAGGGCAAATAAATTCTAGTCGAGTTTCTGAGTTGTATAGAGATATTGTCACATCACTCTATCCTTTGTTCTCCTACTAGACTTATTTGGGGTGAGTCCATAATACAAATCAATCGCCCTTAGCAGTATTCGTGGAGGGTGATTAATTGCGCTTTGTGCGTATGAGTGATTCTCTCGTAACTTGCCCAGATGGCGTCCAAAGTTAGGTGCGTGTTTTGTTATAAAGTTTCTTCGGGAACTAATTTGCTACGGAATTAGTTTGGCTTGTCAGCTGTGTACATTCGAGAACTAATTGACATTTACTTTGACTCTAACGTATCATTTTTTCTGTCATAACAATATACACCTGCACGCACGGGAATAAGGTTTATAATTTTTTATGCGCATAATAGAAATAAAAACTAATTGTTCGTACACCCGACAACGTTTTGTCTTTAGCAAAATTTTGCAGCTAAAGCCAAAACGTTGGATGGACAATAGCTGATTCTCAATTAAAAAGCCTTATTGCTGGTAGATGCACCACGGTGAAATTCTTATTTTAAACTTTTAGTCAATTTAAGGACTTTTGTAGTTTTCTTTCACGATTAATGATAATTACAATTACGCTTTATTCATATTTTTGTGTCACATACTAAACCTACATTAGTACTTGTTCAATGCAGCACATTTTTGCCATATCGAAATTCTTTGCCCTTAACCAGAAGACTACACTGTAAACTCGTTTGGGTTCAGCATAATAATAACAGACTTTTTAAACAAAGAAACTGTCCACCTCTTACAAAAATTTACGCAATTAATCAAATAGTATACAATCAAGGAATTAAAGCAGAAATCATTTCTGTGATGGTATATCACACATTTTGATCGGGATGCCAACGTGAAGCCAATAGGCCCAAAACAGTAATAGATAAAAGGATATTTATGTATGTTAACTATTAAATATAGATAAAATATTATTAAATATTGCTTCAAACAAATAATCTATAAAGTTTTAATAGCTGTATTGAATAAAATTTTTTGTTTTCAGATTTTCAAGACTACTTCTATTGACCTACATTGGAACGTATTAGAGTTGCAAAGTGAACCTCAAAATTTTAGCTAATTCATCAAAGTTAAGAAGAAAATTTCTCATGCATTAAGGTAATATATAATTATACTTAGTTAGTGCAGCTAATATACAATTATACTCAACACTTTCTACTAATCTTACTTATATAGAGAGAAATAATATTGTGATAATTTTGTCGAAAAAAACTCGCTCAATTTCGTCAGCGATTTAACTAGATGAGTTCAATCACTTATGTTAATACACGAATAGCATCAACAACAAATACAGTGAACACAAACAACGTCAATACACAGCAGATCAGGTTAGACGATGTGATTTTTTGAATATAGGAATACAGGATCGGTTGTTACAAACTCAGTTACAACCTTTGAATTGGGGTTAGATTATAATTTTATATCTTATGCGTACGGTGATTCGACCCCTTTACTCCAGATATCACAATATATTTGCATCTGATATATTTCATTATTGTCGTTTCCAAAGCACACATGTGGCAGTGATGTAACCAACTTGTTGATGTTCGTGCTTTTAATTATATTACTAGCGTTATTTTACACGCTTTGCGCACTCTTAAATTTATGTTTTTCTGTCACTTATTGCATTATTCCAACTTTTTATATGACAACTTTGAGATTTTAATGGTATATATGTGCAGATGAATAAATAATACTATTTAAAATACACTATATTTATCGATATTTTTTCATAAAAACTGATCAATTTATACTTTTTTCAAGATGTATCGGAAAAGTTATCTAAAAGACTATACTAAACCTATGATTGATAAAATGTACTTAAGCTGTTACACTATTATAAAATACTACACCTTACATACTTAATAGTAGTGGTTATGGCCCTATAATCTTAGCATGAGTACTATATTGAACATCGTTTGTATTTTTATTAAAATCATCCGTGAACATTATTTTAATTTAATAGGTTAAATCTTATGATAATTAGTTTCTGTTGCCCGCGTACCTCTTAATTTTGTACAAAAGATAAAAAGGAATTTTCCTCTATTTCATGTTATTAGCCTTCTCTATCGTCTAACTAAATGTTAAGAAAATATTAATTTTAGTATCGGTGATGGTTATAAAACTATTAATTTATACTAATAATTTCATATCACAGTGTCTTATGTTATCAATGGCATATTTTCATTCTTGCTATAAATTGAATTTATTGTTGGAGTGTAAGTCTCACACCTCTAGATGTATAATGCAATTTTTTCAAAGTATACGAAAATTAAAAATTTCGAGCTTCTTTTTCGCATCAACAAATCACAGCGCTGGATGTTGGTGACTCATCAGAAAGGAATAATATTATTTTGTCCCTTTGTTAGACGTAACATTCGTATCTGCGTCAGCGATCGATATTTAACGATTAATCGACATACGCTTTGCCATATACATCTCTTTTTTCTACATAACATAAGTAATTTATATGCTGTATCGCACAGGGAGAAAGATTTATAATTGTTATGTATATCATAGAAATGAAAGGCATAAATAATTCCGATACCTGTAAATGTTCTGTTTCTCTGCTTTACTTATACCTTATTTTTTCACTAAAGTTTCCTCTCAACTAACTGTAAGTTAATTATATACGCGCGTCATAACAAGCGTATACCCATATTGTAATATGCACCAGATAAAAAGTATTATTGTAACAATAGCAATTATTCTTATATCCGAGAAATACGATATGCGTTTGCCACAAAGCGTTTTTTTTTCTTCGCTTTTACAATCTATTTATTATTGTCGCTGTAATCGAAACAATTTCTTCACGTCCTATTAGCACGTATCTGTCTCTTATTTGTTACACGCATGAAATCAATCACGTTTTATAAATTTGTCATTGAGCGTTTCAACGCTACTATGAGGTGTTTTAAGGGGGATACAACGATTACAGCAAAAGTCAAAACAGCTTAAAAAATAAAGTTATATAACGGAATATATATATGTATAGTATAAAAAAATTTTATAATTATGTTTTAAATGTTTGTTTAAATGTGTATTCAAAATTCTAAAATGAATCACTGTATTTATAAATTTAATAAATAGTCTTAAAATTGATCTGTTTTTGTAGTTAACCAATCAGCGACTAGCTTTTATCGCCTGCATATAAGCGATGCAAAATATTTATTTATATTTAACGTAAACTAATTGCGTATATTATATTCACCATCAATGCTATTAAATTACACATAAGCAATGCAAAATAATTATTTATATTTATCGTAACCTAATTGCGTAAGGCATATTTATCAGTAATGTTCTTAAATTACATATAAGCAATGCAAAATATTTATTTATATTTAACATAGCCTAATTACGTAAGACGATTTATTTCTTAAGACGATCATTCATGAGCAATGTTATTAAATTAAATTTGAAATTGCCGAAACATTTAACCGCAAGTCATGAAAACTTTTAATTGCGAATATACAACACATTTTACAGTCGTAAAACTCGTGCGACTTTCTTTTACAGTAAAACAAACATAGCTGTCGTTCCATCGCCGGATATCCGAGGACCAAATAGATTTTTTGAACAATTTTCACATTAATTTCATATGAGGAAATGTTAAAGTTGCAAATTTTGAAATGAAATATTTCAAAAATTTCTACTGGCTATCTAAATCATTATTGCTGATATATTAAATTTCCGCGCTGGAGACTTTTTAAGTGTGACCAAATAAAACTAAACAAGGAAAATGATTGGAACTAAGGAAAAGAAGGAGAGAGATGCTAGAAGAAGAGATTGCAGAAGCTACAAGATTATATGAACAAGCCACAGCCGATTCCGATGGGGGTGAGTGTTATGTATGAAGCTTATTTCTCTTGTAAATCTCTTGTAAATACGTTTTTCATTTAGTTCACTTTAATAAAATGTTTAATGGAGTACAGGCTGTCAAAGACTGAAAATTTTCATTTTAAGCGTGAGCAACTGGAAAAAATGCAGTCGACCTTTCTCTTTGGAAAAATTACTTGTTACGTACTTAATTACTATATTTTTTCAAGGATGTAAAGGATATTATACTAAATATTCTTCTATTTTTTGTGTAATAATTCGTGTAATACATTTCAACAGGGTATCTGAAAAATGTACTTTGAATATATTCGCCATATTGTATAGTAAAAAAAGTTATTTGTCAATGGAGCATTAAGGAAATATTTTGACAAAATTTGAAAAAGATATTTACACAAATATTTTGAAATCAATTTAACGTAGAAGTTTTTGTCAAGTTAGTATAAAGTAGTTTCAAGGAATGTTTTCACGAACTTCTTTTAAATTATTCAAAATATTATGTATGTTTTTGCAAAGTTTATTTAAAACATCATTGGCATTTATTAGAATGCATTATTTTTAAAAATTTTTTAAAAGTGTTTTGAATATATAAAACAACATATTTTAACACGACAAACAGTATACATTTGAAATATTCCTATAATTTTTCTAATGTTCTAGTTTTTTCAAAACATTTTGAACGTCTATTATAACAATTTGATGACAAGTTTTTGTTTGTAAAGTTTTTGCAATATTCCTGGATAGATGGAATATATAGATATATGGAATATTTGAATATATCCACATATGAATATATGGAATATTTTCGTACATGACAAATAACATTTTACTGAAAATGTTCAATATTTTATAAATGTATTAAAAAACATTCGTTAGAAATATTTCTAAGCTATTTGAAACTTCCAATACTTCCCTCAAGGTTTCCCTGAAATTTTTCTTCAAATTTTTTACTAAAATGTTTCATGTTATGTGGAATTATTCATTTTTTTTGTGTTATTGGCCATTATTCTATTGTCGATTTGCATGACGATTTGGATAGGACTGCATAGGTTTCGGTTTTGTATAGACTATCTTAACGATGTAGAAAAATATAACACTTTTTTGTATATGTTTTACAAAATGATTTATTTGTACAATATATACTCTTTTAATTAAAAAAGAATATGCCTTATATATAATATTTTAACTTATTTTCCATTTGAATTTCTAATTGATAATTTAAAAGCAACGTTTCTTTAATGTCTCTAATTTAAAAATTATTGTTACTACGATTAATTTCAGCTTTAAAATCAATTTACCCTATCTCATATTTCTTAAATCTCGTTCAAAATTGAAAAAATCGAAATTCAAAAGATTGAGCATAATTTCATTTTTACAAAGAACCCCAATATAGGCTATATATTGCAATATTAATACATATACCAATTTGTATAAATTACGTTTTATGCAGAATCTATAAATTGTAAGTGATATATAAGAAAGAAATATTTAACATAATGATCATATCAAAAATTATATTAGGAGCCATGTACAAGGAAAAAAAGAAAAAACGAAAAAGAAAAAGAAAAAAAAAGAGAAAAATGAAAATATAATGGATAAGTTCAACTATAGAATTTGTGCGTTTTAGCAAAGATGAATTCAGCAGTTATTCAATCTATATACGAGTATATAAAACATATTACTTAGTTTATTAGTAAATTTATAAATACGTTTCATTAAGAGGAAACTCGATTACTTAATTTTAATTTTGAGATTGAAAATATATAACTAGCAATACTGGAAAATTTGAGCATATCGTAATTGGTATTAAAAGTATAGTATATTGAAAATTTACTACTAAGCAAATTTCTAAGTAGACTTATGATGCATTAATAGTATTAAAGATTCGTCATACCTAAAAGTTCTTTAAAATTATAATAAGCAGTTAGAAAAAGTTAAATGACAATATTTGAAAGTTATTTTCGATTGTAAATGTAGAAAAATAAAATCTAGTGCAAAAATACTATGATATATCTTATTATGCACATGTTTTGAGAGAGCTATTATTGTACTTTATTTAACATAAATATGCTTATGCTTCTTGTATAAGAAATATATACAATAGATATCCAAAATTGACTAATTTCATAGTATTATTGTAATATTTACCAGTCATGTTAGCGCTACTTATAAGTTAATCGTTAAACAGTTGTATTAAATTATAGCAACTCGATTATGTACACATTTTGAGTAAGGCTTACTCCGTACAATACTGCACGGATGTCACTAGCACATCCATTCGCATTCGTGTTATCTTTGCAATCAGAACAAAAGAAAACTTGAACTATGTGTTTTAGAACTAGAAGCCAGTGAGGATTGAACTAGCCGTCTCTAGCACCTATACCAGGGTTCTTTGACGGACGTACATCGTATTAAAATCTACCATCACGCATGCACACACACGCGCTCATAAAAAAAAGTAATTCAGTCTTCGTCGCTTCGATGAGAATGCGCTTAGTTATCGCGATTTCGCTGTGCAATTCCTCTCGTCGCTGCCATCGCTGCACTCCAGATAGCCATTGCAAACGCTTGATTTCGGCAGACACTCGCCCAGGGGACATCGGTGACCTTTGCAGCTCGTCACCGTGGACGGTAGGTCAGCTCGAGATGTTACTCGCTCGATCCACGATGAGTAGTGGTAAACCTTCGTGTAGACACCCGGCCGGCCTGGTCTACCGCAGCCATAACCGTTTGACGTTATGCCTGCGAATGACGTTGACGATAAAAGCATTATCAAAACGCTAAAAGTGTCTTAAAACGAATTCTGTCGATAGATTACCGTGAAGAGTGTACTTGTTGCTAGAATCAGAACATACGAGTGGACCTCCACTGTCGCCAAGACATGCATCTCTGCCACCGTCTTTGACTCCGGCGCAAAGCATACCCGCGGTAATTCTGTAAAGAGGTAGGAACAGCGTTTTTCTTCGGCACTCTTCCGTCGATATCAGCGGCAATTCAACTTCTTGAAGGGTGTCAGCTACAAAAGCAACAAAAAGTCCAACTTGGATAAAAGGTTTATTTCATCGCGTGAAAATAGATTGCGGAATATTTCTCACGGAATATCCTGCCGATCTCGAAAAGTTGACCCCAGCCAGTGATAGTGCAGCTCGTGCCGCTCTTGGGCTCCGAACTTGGCAAACAGACCGGCCTCACGTAGTCACTGAACGTCAGTGCTCTCTCGAGCCTCAATAGGGCGATGTCGTTGATGAAGCTGTTGTCAACGTATTCTGGATGTAGAAGTATGTAGTCCAATCTGATTACTTGCTCGTATGGACTAGGAAAGCTGCCCCGACGCGTTGCTCCGATTCGTGCAATCCAGTACTCCTCTTGGGCTCTGAAATATTTTTAATATTTCAAAAGTTAGCGAAACTTTAATTGACATTATGCCTACGCAAGATTAACAAATTACATGCATTTTAATAGCATGCGCCCTAAATCACGACTATTAAACGAATTTCATAAATGCAAGTTTCAAAAGAATAACTATGATGATAAGAAAAATAATAATATTTACACGACAGTTTTACTGCAAAGTTTATAATTTACTGGCAACAATGATATTTCAAAACTTTGTGTATTTCAAGAAATGTTAATAACAGAAACAACATACCTATAGAAGCAATGGGCAGCCGAAATGATCCATCGATCGCTAATAATCGCACCTCCGCACTGATAATCGCCTTCTTTGTAAAGTGCCACTTGCCAGGGCCAACTACCGGCGGATGAACTTCCACCACCGACGATTCTGTAATGACGCGTTCGAGGCCACTTTCTTCAATGTCCCCAATAATTTATCAAATCAAATTTAAAATGTAACTAAACGATACTAATTATTTGTACGTGTGATATAATGAGACCAAAAGTGCAAAGATATAACAAAAGTACAAATCTATCGAAAATAAATGTAAAAAAAAAGTTTCGTCTACTTTAGTTACATTTTTTAATTTTCGACGCAAGAAGCGCGGAACAGTTATGAACATACCTTCCACCCGATGGCACTTGTGTTCTAATTCCACACTCGAAATTCTTGCATTTGACTTTCAGGACTTGGCCGCTATGACATTTTGTCTTTTTAAACGTCAAACTCGTCCTGTCGTTTGATTTATCGTCGCTTACAGACAAACTATAGTAAGTTTTGTCTCGCACTGGGCTGTCTTCTTGAACTCTTTCTACTTTATCAAAATCTCTGTAGAAAAGGTATGTTTTTATAAAAGGTAAAATCACATAACGAATTTTGCAAAACATAATTTGTACATAGATTCATTATTGCAATAAAAGAATGGTTGAGGAGAAAAAACACGATAAAATATCATGTCGAAAAAATAAAAAAAGTCTACTCACTGATAAGTAATAGCCTTGCAAACAGCCCTTCCAAGATCTTCAATGCTCCACGATAATTGTCGCTGCTGTAGCAAGTCATCGGAATCACTGAGACATAATTTACCCCATTCGCCATTTTTCCTCACATTCAAGTATCCTCTGTCATTGTAACTATTCACTTCCATTCTATCGCTAAATCGCACCACTTGACCTTTTTTGATTGAGCCTTTATCTCTCGTCAGGTGATTTCTGACTTTCAGCGATGAGATTTCTCTACCAGATACAACGTCCGTCAGGTTCCGATCATCCTCAGTTATCGACCTTTCGATGTGATCATCAAGAAACAAGTGTTGTGGAGTATGGTCGATGTTTGCCAGGAATTCATCATCGATCAAAGCTGCACATTTTCGCTCGTCTTCACCGTGCGGACAGTCCCGAAAACCGTCGCAAACACGTGACTGATCAACGCAGTACCTGCTGTTGCCGCAGACGAATTGTCCTTCTTGGCACCATGCTATAAAATTTTACGAATATTTACAAATGATTTCTCCAATAATTTAAATGCACGACAACACTCGTAAGTATTGATACAGTCTGTTTGAATAATCATTTTCAAAGTGAAACTAATTTACGATACTGAAATCTTTACAGGAAGATTTAGGATGAATAATACTATTAATTACCACAGTCGGATTCGTCAGAAAAGTCCCAGCAGTCTAAAGTACCATCGCAGATCTTTTCTTGAAGTAGCTGAGTCCTGAGGAAGTCAGCACACGTGCAGTTCGACTCATCTTCCGAGTTTACACACTCGCCCAACATATTGCAGCGAGCACTTGCTGGTAAACACTTTCCGTCACTACACTGGAGACCTTTGCATGGCTCTGTAATATTTTTTAACGTTACGAAATAACCTGACAGTTATAATTTTATTAAATAATATCATCATAAAAACTTACGATGCCGGCTTGTCTGATTTTCATCAGTCGTCGACATCATTTTATCGTCCCTCTCGTCGATTTTGTGCAGTGTTTTAGTTATGATAGGCACGCCATCGCGGCTGAATGTATAATTCAGAGTCGTCTCTTTGGAAAGGGCGAAAGTTTGATTTTCCCTGGCAACAACATCAGCGATTTTCTTAAGCTTCTCCAAATCTATGATATTATCAGGCTTGAATCTCGTCACGATGTTAGATGAACTTGCTCTGGTTTCGTTTTTCGGTTTTTTCACAGCGACAGGCTCATTTCCAGTCCTCACTTCGGCTAATTTTCGTAGACCGTCTACGAGTAGGCTATCTTTGTCCTGTACGCTTGCGATTTTTCGATCTGAATTTTGGTTAACTTTCGATGTTGTTGTTGTTGTTGTAGTTGATGATGATGACAATGGTGTGCTCGTAGTGGATGTTGTAGGGGCAACTATAAATTTTATTTTCAGTGTTGTGTTGCAACGAATTTTTATCAAATTAAAATGTATATGAATAATTTTTGAGATAAAGATAAAAGACTTTGTTTCTAATGGGGGCTTCAACCACAATATAATTAAAATTAGATCCTTAACGGTCAATAGACTTGATACGGATGACGAAAGTTATACAAAAATATTCTTACCTAGCTTGATAATCATCTGATTGCCTTTAATGCTCGATGAAACTTTCGTACTAATCGACGTGACTACCTCAATTATTTGTTCGACAGTTCCACCAAGTGGTGGATCTTTGTTGAACTCTCGTTGCTGCTGTGGTTCCGCTTCGCCGCTTTGCAAGCCGAACAGTCGCTCAAGGAGAACGGAATCATCGGTAGTATTTGCGGTTGCTACTGTAGTACTTGGAATCTCTGTAGTTTGTTTTTGTTTCTCTCTGTCGAGCTTTGGACGTGGTCGTATTGGTCGCCCCACACCTGAAAATTGTGTTTTAAAATAAGAAGCTAGTAAAATGGCAAAATTACAATAAATTCTTATCAACATTTTAACAAACATTTTTAAACAACTTACCGGAGTTACTTTTGACAGGCGCCAAAGTCACCAAATCAATCACGACGTTCGCTTTCAGCGTGTCGTTGTATACTTTCTTCGTTGTTGCAGGTGTACTCATTAAATGACTAGAAATTTCACTTATCGAGCTTTGGATTTCTCCGACAATATTAGTTTCGTTTGTCAGTGGTTTTATAGTGTCAATCTAAGAAGCAAAATAAAAAGATTAATATTCCATCTTCGTGTCCGTGAAATAAAATGAACTTACCTTAATAAAAGTTGAATTTCTTAACGGATGTACTATAATATCTTGAATCTTTTCTTCATTAGGTACTTCACTCTCCGTGGTTGCAACCTTTATTTCTTCTAAAGTTGTCGTCTCCATTGGTAAACTCGTGGTACTTTCATTCGCATCCTTAACGAACGTTTCAATCTCAACAATGTGTTCAATATTAGGTATCATCCCTTGGCCTTTAGTAATCACTGGACGTTTATTCGGTAATTCTAGTTGTTGTTCTTCCTTTGCTGGACTGATCTTATCTACAGGAATGGTATGGCTGAAGGGTTTTAGAGTACCTGATACGCGAACTATAGGAGGTTTCGAGCCACCATTCAAGTCGGGAGTTTTGTAACTGGTGTAAACTGGTTGCAGTATTGGTTCGAGGTGTTTGTCATCAACGTCATCGGCCGAAATTTCACTGTACCTATTTCGACTTTCTAGATCTATTCGAATGGAATAAAATTATAAAAACTATCCAAAAAGTTATATTCAAAATTAAAATGATTATCAACCTAATTCCGCATCGAGTACAGGTTCAGCAATACCAACACCTGTCAAAATAGCTGGCTGATCATCATCCATTTCGAAAATGGGAAACGCAGGTGCTTCACTGGTGTGATCCGTCAATTCAACCATTGGTTCCGACGAGCTTATTTTCAATCTCAGATCGTATGTATCTGACGGCAATTTACCAGCGCCAACCTCGATTTTAGTGCTCTCCTCAGCGATGACACCGGGAATTTTGTTTTTGTACTTGCCGTTTACCCGGAAATTTACCATCTCTTCGGGAACGATGCGATCGTGAGGGAATACGGTGTCTTCGTCGTCAATTGCTATCAACATCGGTGGCAAGAGAGTACTGACTCGTGTTAGAGTATCGATTGCTAGTGTTTTTACGTCGGCTGACGATGAAATAATCAGTGATTATAACATTGAAATTGATCTAATAAATATTACCTAATGAATCTTACCAAATTTATCGACATCTGCCTGAACACTAGGTTTGGCAGTCGTACTCGTCGTAGTCGTAGTCGTCGTAGTACTTGACGTCGTAACAACATTTGGACCTCGCCTGATATCAGTATGCAAATATGGAGGAACAATAGGTTTCCAAGGTGAAGTTTCAAGCTCCGGTTTATGGAAAACATTGACGGGGGCATCCGTAGTTATCTTCGAGGTACTCGGCGATTCCGTTGTAGTAGTTATGGTCGTAGTCGCTTCTGCAGTTGTCGTCGTCGTTGTCGTCGTTGTCGTCGTCGTAGTCGTCGAGGTCGTTGACGGCTCCTCTTTTCTTGACAACGTTGATCCACTGTAATTGAGCTTTGTTGCTGTGTAAGTACCTCGAATTGTCGGTGCACTACCAAAGTCGATATCTGCATCGGGATCGGTTGATTCGGTTGGTTCGGGTTTGAATTTGGTTTTTGGATTGATGATGATCGAGATGTTTCGATTCGGGCGTAAGATACCATTTTTCGTGATCATGGTGTTGCGCTGCTGCGTAGATGGTGCGGCTTTTTGGGTTTGGCTGGTTTCGTGGTTTATTCCTGTTAGAAAAGTAAGTCAGACAAATTACATTTCTTACAATTAAATTCTAAAACATGAAAGTCGTCTAAATTCTTACTCACTTTTGACCGTAACACTCGTCAGGTCAAGTTCCATATCTTTAAATAAAGATGATACCGAGTAAGTTTCTTTCGCTATTATATCTTCTATCGTATCTTCTACATTTGTTATGGACCTTGGAATCTTCCTTCTATCCAAGTATAATCTGAAGAATACTTTTAAGGTATTATTTTCGAACTTGTCTATGACCGTTTGCTTGTATGCAACACCCAGTACACTTCTCCTGAATAATAGCTCAAACTGAAAATAAAAAGAAATCCTCGCGTTAATAAAGTTTAGAAATGTCCTAAACTGAATTATTATTTCAGTACTTACGATATTTCTGTACTTTTGTTCTTTTTCTCGAAAGACCATACTTGTGTTCAACTTCAACATGGGATTATACTTTTCTCCCCTTATTATTCTAAAACTACCAACATAGCCTACTATTGCTGAAATAAATAAGGTCACGTTATTTATTTCATAAAAATTATGAGTATCGCATTTAGGAAAGAAGCATTTTTTCAGCGATTACCATTCTTTGAGTCAGTACGAAGAGCTGAAAAACAAAACAGAAAGAGCGTTAAAATACATTACGTATTCTTTGTTCCTATGTTAATGATCAATCAATTTATCATCTTCGATTGTTGTGACGATAACTTAGCTTACGTACAATTTCGAAAAATTACAAGGTGACAGCAATTCGAAACCGAAAGCCTCGATATAATCGCAAAAATCTGACTCTCGCCTACGTAAAACAAAGTGCAATTCTGCTGGCTCGGTGGTCTTGATATTGACAGTACAGAGTATTAATAATAAATAGCAGATAAGAAACTGACCACCCATCCAGAGCGCGAGTCCAGCAACAGCGAGCACAGTCACAAGCACGAGCATAGCAATGATGACGAGCATAGCACTGCCGACTTTCCACGTCGAGTTGCCACTACGGCTGGATTTTGACGTCTGCGGTGGTACCCGTGACCAGGCCGACCTCGGTGGCATGTAGTAATCATTCTGCAAAATAGATAGACCTTGCAATTAGGCGCACGCAGGAGAAGAAGGATGAATTCAATTAAATTGTTTAATTACATCGTCAATCTTTGCCCGTGACATCGGCATGATTGCAAGCAAGTTTGTTTTTACGCTTGTAATAAATAATTTTCGGGCGAAAATTGATATTCGTCTTGCCAAATACTGCAGTGTAATCTTGTTTGCATTGTTGGATTTATGAAGCAGTATTTTCGATCTCATATGATTGGGTTATTTTAACGATAAGTTCGATTGGGTTTGCGAATAACTTTTGAAGAAAAATAAAATGAACTAAAAATACTTGTTGACATCGGAATCGAATCGTGTATAGAGTGGTACGAAAGCAGCAGGACGAGAAGAATTCCGACTTGTTTAAACACGCGAGTTAACGTGTAAAGCTCGTTATCTGACCACTAATACAACATGACTAGTGAGTGTATGGTTTTGAGATGCAGAACAACGTAAAATTACCTCACGGAGAAATTGAAATACACAAATAACGCAATCTTCGAAATAATCAAATGCATGCGAAATTATAATGCCGAGTTTCGCTGTAGCAAGAAACAAACGTTCAATTAAAATCAAATGAAAGCTCGTAAAATATGAGATATACGGTGACGGAACGTATTCTCCATTTAGGAGGCGCGGTCGGTTGCAGCCGAACGACCAAACCGACAGAAAACGCGAGCGACGAGCGCCTGGCGTTCTCGCAAAATTGACGGCTCGAACTGTGCGCCCGAAAGCTAATCGTCGTCGCGGTCGCGCATCTCTTCGGCGCGCGGCTAATGCGAGGCACTTGCGCAAGACTGCCTAAGCGCCGCTGTCGGCGTCGGGTACCGTTAGCGGATTTTTGGCGCGCGCGCGCGCGCGCGGCTCGTTGCCTAGCGGTACGAACGCGTATGCAACAGCGCGGCGCCTGATTTTTCGCGCTGATTTCGTATACACGCCCGCGACTCCGACACGTCGAGGCAGTTTCCGTTACATATGCTTCGGCGTGATGCCGAGCGAGTTTTCATTATCTCTGTATTGCTATTATTATGTTCTGTTTTTTTTCGAAATACGACCCTGAAAGCCAGCGGTTCGTCAGACTATTATGTATTATAAACGCTTGCCGACAACTCAAACGAATCATGTCAACTTTTGTCTTCACTGTGTCGACACAAAAGTCGGACGCCGCTTGCGTCTGTAGCGTGATCTTGAACTTGATCAAACGTCTCGCACGCGGAAATACAATGTTCATCCATTCTAGTTAATAATAATAAAACAAATGGGCACTTCGAGCATCCAAAAACCATAGCCTCGCAACGTTTCCTCAACTATGACTATCACTTTATTATGGCCCAAATAACGTTTCTAGAGCAGTACTCGTATATTATAAAGTAAATTCTACTTAAGACTGAATTCCTCGTTAAATAATGAATGCCGCTGTGCTGTTTAATAGATTTTTTATAGCTGTTTGTAAAATGAAATTACTATGCTCATCGACCACAAAACCCTCCTCGGTTTTTCCCTCTCAAACATTCACAAGTAACATCTAGGAGCGGAAATTAAAGTAACTCCTCGTTCAACTGGATGCATTCTATTTCTGCCGCGAGCACGCCGACGTCGAAAGAAAATTGTTGTTTTCTTGAAAGTCAAACCACTCGAATAAAAAACGTAATTGAAAATCGTTAAATGCGATCTTAGCATTGCAAGTCATTGGTGTTATGGGAAGTAGTTGCCGTGGCATTGCGAAGGCGATAAACAAAAAAGAAATAAATAAATAAAGGTGTAACAGTTTTCGAACAATTTTCTCGATTGAACATCTCTCGACGGCCGTCAAAAGCAGATACACATCGGGAGCCTTCCTTTAACGGGGCAGCAACAACAAGTCGCAGAGATGCCGTTATGCCATCGACACACGTGAAACGCAAATCGTTGGAGAAATAATGCAGCCGTCGGCGGACGAAAAACTCGCCGCAGCGCGCCGAGACAGACTAAATACATCCGAGTCCACGGCTCGCTCCCATGGAAGGGAGGCGAACGACAGGCGTCAATTAAAACCGCGCGTCGATTGGTTTTATTGCGAAACGAGGAGCGAGTTTCCCTTCGGCCACATCCTTCAATTTCTCAAGTTTAATGCCTTTATTATACGCCTTTGGGTGTATCATTCTATCGTTCCCTGTGCGGCGGCGGCTGCGGCGTCACGAGGAAGTCGTTAGTGCGGGCTGCCAAGTCAGAGGTGCGCGCGGCTGCACGCGCACAGATGTATAAATTAGTTGGCGCTTTGCCATTAGTTACGCCGGCCCGAGATCTCCTATCTTTTTATGCGCCATCGCTTGCCCCCCCCCCCTTTCCTCCGCGCGACGATCATCGTCATTACCTGTTAAAAGCTCCGCCGAACCGCCAGCTTTTGCGTTTACTGTTACCGCGTCGTGGCAATTTACCGCGTGCCTCATGCGTGCTCCTTTCTCCGGCTTTGCGCGCGTCAATTCGGATTGCACCTTGTGCAAACACACCGCCAAGCTTTTCTGCTCTCGGGCCCGTTGGCGTGGTCAATATTCGAGAGAGAGCCTCTTGGCTCGCCTTACCCCCTCCCTTCGAGCGTACAGCCGGCCGTTTCAACGTCGCGAATTGCGCGCGCCGAGTCTCGTTTCATTAGGGTTTAATAGGAGCGAGAGAGCCTCGTAAAAGTACGTTTTGGGTTTCGTCGCAGGTAAATAAGCTCTCGAATTAATTGCGATTGCCGAGGTCTGCCCGACTGCAGCTCGAAATGACGTCTCGCGACGTTTATCAGAACGTGAGAGCGTTAGTAGAGAACTAATTTAGCATGAATCGAGTTAATCCGGGCTTCTAGTCTTGTCATCTCTCGTTCGTTTTCTGTACTTAGCACGGCGACTCGAGGACAAAGTAAAGAAAGATTCTCGCGCGATCATTCATGTCGTACTCGATATGACACTTAGTTTACAAAGAGCATCTTAAGATAAGTGAATTGCGCAAGCATAAGATCTGCTTGATTTGTCGACGAAACAAATCCATTCAGCCGTCTCGCCTTAGTCCTAATTCTCAGGGAAAGGAAAATGCAGCGTCTTATGAGAGTACTTAATCGCTCGCATAACTAGCGAAGTAGACTAAACAAATGTGATTGCATTTTGTTATTGCGAATAAATCTCCCGCGAACGTCAAGCGCGCATGCATAATGCAAATCGAGTGCATGGGAAGAAGAAAAAACAGGAGAAGAGGAGAGGAGCGCGCGTACGTGCACGCAACGGGGAAGCCGAGATGCGAGCGGATACGAGATGTAAGTAGGATTAAAAGTGAGATAAGCTCCGGGAGAGAGAGAGAGAAACAGTTTTTCGCATTTTCCAGGGAAAATTGCTCTCGCGCTCGGCGAGCGTACGCACGAGAGCCGATCGACGTCCCGTCGCGACGTAATCGTGCGCGCCGATGATCCATGGGCTTCGAGATCGGCAGCCGATATCGCGCGACCTTTGCTGCGGGGAACGCGATCCCGAATTGAGCGACTCTCTCTCTTTTTTCTTTTCTTCCTCGCCCGAGAGCAGAGCTCGCGAAGCGAGACACCGGGGCAGCTCGGGGTTCGTCGACCTCAACGCCAAGTCCGAATAAATCTCATCGAGATAGCCATTAAGCATAGGCTTCTTTTAATTCGCTTCGGCACTTGCTCACCTTGCTCCTCGAATTAAAGTGCGCGCACGCCACGGCCGCCTCTCCTTTTTTTTTCCCTTCTCTCCTTACGCGCATTCCGCGCGTATTTTTAGCGTCGGCACGCACGGAAAAAGCGCGAGGGTACCGTTTCGCGCTCGCGACTCAGGTCTTACCGATTTTCTTTTTTTTCCTTTTACTTCCAACTGATAAATCTTTGGCCGACGCCCATGGAAACTAGTGAATTGATTTCTTCGATTGATAAACTAGTTTGACTCATCCCACTGGGATGTTTCTCAAAGCTTTTGATACCGATATTCAATATCATCGTTCTCAAACTGGTTTTCCGATGCCACTGACACTTAATCCCTTATGGACTAATTCTTCCTCGTGATTGTAATTCTTTGTGATTACGATTCGAATCAGCTTAGTTTGAACGAATAATTATAGTTTGATCCCGGTGCCGGAAATTCCAATAATAAATTGTACATACGTGACAAATGAAAACTATTGAAATACTCTTAAAAAATAAACGGTTTCCGGTGCCCATTAAATGTTTTATAGTTGCTGTAAATTCCTTACATTCTTTGCTAAAAATTTTTGTGGAATTACTAAACTTTACGCTGGCATTGTCATATATCATACTGTAGTAATATAAAAGCAATAGATGATCAGAGAGAATAACGTTGTCAGTGACCTTCGTGAATTCGAATGAATTTTGCATTACCTCGTTGCTTTTCGATTAGCTAACCGACCAGCTGAGCTCAACTCGCATAATGAGCCATATAACAGCATCGACACATCAGTGTCACATAGCAAGGTAAAATCGGCATGCATCGCAAGCGGCATATGTAGGCCGGACGCACGCTCCTCTAAAATGAACGGCCGCCAAGCAGTGCGGGCATGCCCGAGATTCATTGGCACGTCCCAGTTGGCGCCGTTTACGCGGATTTTCTTATCGCGGGAGATGGGCCTTTTTGCATAAATTTCCGTTCGAGCGCCTTAAGAGCGAAACAGTGTCTAGGTCAGCCGCGATCACTCGTAGAAAGGAGAGTCTCAGGCTGCCGCTTCGAGCGCGCTGCGTGCGGATTTTTAGACGCGCGCGCGCGCGCGGTGACATAACGAGTTTTCTTGCGCGCGACTCGGCGGTGCGAGGCACCGGAGGCGAGCGGCGTTCCTCGAGCGAGCTCGTAAATCTTTTCCGACGGTGTTAATAGTTTAATGGGTCGGCTTGAGTGAGTGATTGTGATACGGTAGTATGTACGCGAATCAAATAATGCTTGGCTCGAGACAATTTTCAAACCTATTATTTTTATAGCGCGACGTAAAGTTTACCTTTGGTC